TCTCTCTCTCTCTCTCTCTCTCTCTCTCTCTCTCTCTCTCTCTCTCTCTCTCTCTTCCTCCCTCTACTTCTCCCTCCTCGCCTTCTGCTTTACTCTCTCCTTTCCTCCATCTAGTTTTTCTACTCCCTCTCCCTTCCATCCTCCCTCCACCTCTTTCTCACTCCCTTTTGCCTTTGTCTTTACCTTCTCTTCCTCCTCTTTTGTTCCATCCTTCCTCTCCGGCTTCATCACAATTTTTTCCCTCTCTTTCCATCCTCTTTCCACCTCTTTTTCACTCTCTTCCCTTCCTAGTCTCTCTCTTTTCTTCCCCCTTTTGCTTCATCACACATTTTTCCCTCCCTTTCCCTCCCCTTCCATCCTCCCTTCACCTCTTTTACCCTCTCTTCCCTTCCCAGTCTCTCTCTCTTTTCTTCCCCCCCCCCCCCTCTCTTTCCAGCTTCCTTTGCACACTTTCTCTCTCACCGGAAATATCTCTCATCCTTTCCGAAACCCAGACGCGCGGATGTGGTCGTCCGCGGGTTCTCAGGCTACAACACTCGCAACTGCCTGGCACTCCTCCCCTACGTGGCCACAGACTTGAAGGATGTCGTTGGTGCCACGGTGTTCCTCGGTGCCAATGACGCCAGTGCTGAAAACACCCAGCAGGCTGTTCCTCTTGGAGAATACTCGGAGAACATGAAGGCTATTGTCAGGCACTTCCAGGTTAGTAGGGGTTTATAGTGTGCATTTTTTAATGAATGTAGAAGGTGGTTTTACAGATTTTAAGTAGTCTGTTCCTTAGTTGTTAGTATTTTTTGTATATTCTTTTTATTACCAGTTGTCGTATTTTTATATTATTCATGTTAATACATAATTTTACTTTATTGCTCATGTTATTATTGCTATTATTATTATTATTATTGTTTTTTTGCTATCTGTACATTATCATCATGATATCATCATTCTATTATTACCATCTGTCTCATTATTAGATTTAGTCTATGCAGAATTGACACAGTTCCGCCATTTCATTATTAATTAATTCCCTCCCACTAGCCTTTTACAAAAGAAATATTAATCCTAGTTTATTTGTGAGTTAAATTTTGCCCTCCCTTTTAGTTAAGGAGGGCAGGAGCTTCAGTAAAAAGCAGCAAAAAGTAATGAAGTGTTACAGTTTTTCTTCATTTAAGTTAATAATAAAATGGGGGAGCTGATTTCATTTGCATTATATATGAGAATTAAATAGAAAATTGACATGCACTTAATTTAATTACTAAGAAAGTGGCAAGTAGATTTATTTTTCAAATTTAGTTTTAGTTTACTTGCCAAAAATCCATCCTCCTCCTCCACAAAAGAAAATGTGGCTGATTCTTAAAAAAAACATTTGTAATTTTTTGGTCTCAAGATATGCACTGTTTAAATGCACAACAGTCGGTGGCTTTTGGTCCTTTTCTTTTTGTTCTACTTTTCACAAGCTCTCATATTTTAGGTGTTTGAAATACATAAAAAAATACATCAAAACTCAAAGGCATTAACCTAACCTAAATTTTCTCTCAGTGGCAAGTTAATCCTAATAACACAGCCTCCCTATTTTTCACACAACTCCCTCAGAATGCCGGAGTGAAGCCCATTCTGATAACTCCCCCGGCACTGGATGGGGAAGGCTGGAAGAGTTACTGTGAGGAGACGGGCCGTTGTTACGCCAAAGACGAGGCACTCACGTCCAAGTACGCAGAGGCTTGTTCGGGTGTTGCCTCAGAAATGGGAGTCCCTTGCATTGATCTCCATACTGCTATGATCAACCAGGTATAGGGGTTATAGCATGAAAATGAAATATGTGCTGTCTGTTATTTTTGCAGGATTCATGTACATATGGTGTGACTTTTTTTTTGAGGTAGATTAAAGCATCAAGTCTTGATTTAGGTGTGATTTTGGTTAATTGTGAACATTATTAGTATTATAGTATTATTTATGACCATATATAAATAATGAGTGTATAATACTGTGCAATTAGGCATTGGTAGGAATGTTGAAAATGGTTTGTGATCATAGGCTCCACCTCTCCACCTCCCATAGGCTGACTGGCAGAACCTCCTGTGTGATGGACTACACCTCTCACAAAGGGGCTCGGAACTGCTGGCCTCACTCCTTGCCCCAGCCATGGAGAAGCACTTATCGTCAAGTCTCCCAAAGGACCACATCCTACCCCTCTGGAGTGAGATTGGCGCCGACAACTCTGTGGAGGTGTTCAAGGAGTGGTGCGAGAAGAACGTGTGAAGTGTTCTTGGGGTGTTCAGCATGTTCGGGAATGTGATGTCTTGGGCTTCCAGTTTTTCAGCTGAATTTCCAGGGTTTTATTTTTATGGCAATTGTAATTTTGTTGTCTACGAGGAAAAAACAAGATATCATGAGAAGTATATTTACTAACAAGATACATGAGGAAGTACAAATAAGAAAAAGCTCATTCTCAGATATATATATGCCAAATATAAAAATACTGGCCATGTATACTGTCATGAAAATAAAGCAGGAAAGTGGCAGACTGACTGAGGATAAGGCAGGAAAGTGGCTGACTGACAGGGTAAGGCAGGAAACTAACTCTCTGACTGAGGATAAAGCAGGAAAGTGGCAGACTGACTGAGGATAAAGCAGGAAAGTGGCAGACTGACTGAGGATAAAGCAGGAAAGTGGCAGACTGACTGAGGATAAGGCAGGAAAGTGGCAGACTGACTGAGGATAAAGCAGGAAAGTGGCAGACTGACTGAGGATAAGGCAGGAAAGTGGCTGACTGACTGAGGATAAGGCAGGAAAGTGGCAGACTGACTGAGGATAAAGCAGGAAAGTGGCAGACTGACTGAGGATAAGGCAGGAAAGTGGCTGACTGACTGAGGATAAGGCAGGAAAGTGGCTGACTGACTGAGGATAAGGCAGGAAAGTGGCTGACTGACTGAGGATAAAGCAGGAAAGTGGCAGACTGACTGAGGATAAAGCAGGAAAGTGGCAGACTGACTGAGGATAAGGCAGGAAAGTGGCTGACTGACTGAGGATAAGGCAGGAAAGTGGCTGACTGACTGAGGATAAAGCAGGAAAGTGGCAGACTGACTGAGGATAAGGCAGGAAAGTGGCTGACTGACTGAGGATAAAGCAGGAAAGTGGCAGACTGACTGAGGATAAAGCAGGAAAGTGGCAGACTGACTGAGGATAAAGCAGGAAAGTGGCAGACTGACTGAGGATAAGGCAGGAAAGTGGCAGACTGACTGAGGATAAAGCAGGAAAGTGGCAGACTGACTGAGGATAAGGCAGGAAAGTGGCAGACTGACTGAGGATAAAGCAGGAAAGTGGCAGACTGACTGAGGATAAAGCAGGAAAGTGGCAGACTGACTGAGGATAAGGCAGGAAAGTGGCTGACTGACTGAGGATAAGGCAGGAAAGTGGCAGACTGACTGAGGATAAGGCAGGAAAGTGGCTGACTGACAGGGTAAGGCAGGAAACTAACTCTCTGACTGAGGATAAAGCAGGAAAGTGGCAGACTGACTGAGGATAAGGCAGGAAAGTGGCTGACTGACTGAGGATAAAGCAGGAAAGTGGCAGACTGACTGAGGATAAGGCAGGAAAGTGGCAGACTGACTGAGGATAAGGCAGGAAAGTGGCTGACTGACTGAGGATAAGGCAGGAAAGTGGCAGACTGACTGAGGATAAGGCAGGAAAGTGGCTGACTGACTGAGGATAAGGCAGGAAAGTGGCTGACTGACTGAGGATAAAGCAGGAAAGTGGCAGACTGACTGAGGATAAGGCAGGAAAGTGGCTGACTGACTGAGGATAAAGCAGGAAAGTGGCAGACTGACTGAGGATAAGGCAGGAAAGTGGCTGACTGACTGAGGATAAAGCAGGAAAGTGGCAGACTGACTGAGGATAAGGCAGGAAAGTGGCAGACTGACTGAGGATAAAGCAGGAAAGTGGCAGACTGACTGAGGATAAAGCAGGAAAGTGGCAGACTGACTGAGGATAAAGCAGGAAAGTGGCAGACTGACTGAGGATAAAGCAGGAAAGTGGCAGACTGACTGAGGATAAGGCAGGAAAGTGGCAGACTGACTGAGGATAAAGCAGGAAAGTGGCAGACTGACTGAGGATAAAGCAGGAAAGTGGCAGACTGACTGAGGATAAGGCAGGAAAGTGGCTGACTGACTGAGGATAAAGCAGGAAAGTGGCAGACTGACTGAGGATAAGGCAGGAAAGTGGCAGACTGACTGAGGATAAGGCAGGAAAGTGGCTGACTGACTGAGGATAAGGCAGGAAAGTGGCTGACTGACTGAGGATAAAGCAGGAAAGTGGCAGACTGACTGAGGATAAAGCAGGAAAGTGGCAGACTGACTGAGGATAAAGCAGGAAAGTGGCAGACTGACTGAGGATAAAGCAGGAAAGTGGCAGACTGACTGAGGATAAGGCAGGAAAGTGGCAGACTGACTGAGGATAAAGCAGGAAAGTGGCAGACTGACTGAGGATAAAGCAGGAAAGTGGCAGACTGACTGAGGATAAAGCAGGAAAGTGGCAGACTGACTGAGGATAAGGCAGGAAAGTGGCTGACTGACTGAGGATAAGGCAGGAAAGTGGCTGACTGACTGAGGATAAAGCAGGAAAGTGGCAGACTGACTGAGGATAAAGCAGGAAAGTGGCAGACTGACTGAGGATAAAGCAGGAAAGTGGCAGACTGACTGAGGATAAAGCAGGAAAGTGGCAGACTGACTGAGGATAAAGCAGGAAAGTGGCAGACTGACTGAGGATAAAGCAGGAAAGTGGCAGACTGACTGAGGATAAAGCAGGAAAGTGGCAGACTGACTGAGGATAAAGCAGGAAAGTGGCAGACTGACTGAGGATAAGGCAGGAAAGTGGCTGACTGACTGAGGATAAGGCAGGAAAGTGGCTGACTGACTGAGGATAAGGCAGGAAAGTGGCAGACTGACTGAGGATAAGGCAGGAAAGTGGCAGACTGACTGAGGATAAGGCAGGAAAGTGGCTGACTGACTGAGGATAAGGCAGGAAAGTGGCAGACTGACTGAGGATAAGGCAGGAAAGTGGCAGACTGACTGAGGATAAGGCAGGAAAGTGGCTGACTGACAGGGTAAGGCAGGAAACTAACTCTCTGACTGAGGATAAAGCAGGAAAGTGGCAGACTGACTGAGGATAAGGCAGGAAAGTGGCTGACTGACTGAGAATATGGCAGGAAAGTGGCTGACTGACTGAGAATAAGGCAGGAAAGTGGCTGACTGACTGAGGATGAGGCAGGAAAGTGGCTGACTGACTGAGGATAAAGCAGGAAAGTGGCAGACTGACTGAGGATAAGGCAGGAAAGTGGCAGACTGACTGAGGATAAGGCAGGAAAGTGGCTGACTGACTGAGGATAAGGCAGGAAAGTGGCTGACTGACAGGGTAAGGCAGGAAACTAACTCTCTGACTGAGGATAAAGCAGGAAAGTGGCAGACTGACTGAGGATAAGGCAGGAAAGTGGCAGACTGACTGAGGATAAGGCAGGAAAGTGGCTGACTGACTGAGGATAAAGCAGGAAAGTGGCAGACTTATGTTTTTGCCGCTTAATGAGAAGCACTACTGTAGGTATGTTTTATCTTTGAGACATTTGTGATGGGAAAAAGTTGCACTTGTGTTGTGTATTTTCTTTATGGGAATACGTGTTTGTATGAATGTATAGTCCATTCCTTGAATTTCTTTTTTCTTTTTTTCAATTATCTGTTTCTAGTATATGTCCATTTGATTATCCATATTGTTATTCTTGCAGTTGATAAAGAATTTACCAGAAAGATTTTTGCTTTTATTCATTCATACATAGTGACCTCTAATGATGAATAATAAAACACAAAAGAGAGGAAGAAAGAAAAAAAAAAAAAGAATTAATGAAGTAGTGCAAGCAACAGTATTTTGCAAACTCCTATGATAAAGGACCCAGATTCACCTCCCTTCAAAACCAGAGGCCCTGCTGACAAAGTACTGCTCTTGTATCATGGCCTTTGTTCTTTGCTTTACATGAGCAATACAAACAAATAATCACAAACAGCAAAAGCGGACAAGAAATATCTTCAATTATAGAATTATGAAAAAAAAAATCTGTATCACAAAGAAAGGCAGGCTTTAAGTTAACCAAAATCTATGAAATTTCAATATGTCATAAACCCACAGACCTCCTTTGTTAATACCACTAATTTTGGTGTATTTACAAACCTGAAGTTGTTGAAACAGTTGGTGGAAATGAGAGCCAAGGATATCAATCACATTCATGCGGTTATTTGCTGAAGGATCTACGAGAACTGAAGGGTTTTCAGGTATGCCAAGGTCTGTCATAAACATCACTAAATGACTGTGGCTACCCTTCTTCTAGCACTACCTAATCTGTCTAGTGATTATATATGAGTACTTTTACTGGATGACTAAAGGAGGAGCATGCTTGTGGTCTTGCCATGGTTATCTCCAATCAAACCACAGTGATTGACAACCTGGCATACCCTGATGCACCAAATGTAAAATTTTCAGTGCATACGAGGAGTCCATTACAGACTAACTGAGGACAAGGCAGAGAACTTACTGACTGACTAAGCATTCGGCAGGAAAGTGGCTGACTGACAGGGTAAGGCAGGAAACTAACTCTCTGACTGAGGATAAAGCAGGAAAGTGGCAGACTGACTGAGGATAAGGCAGGAAAGTGGCAGACTGACTGAGGATAAGGCAGGAAAGTGGCTGACTGACTTACGATAAGGCAGGAAAGTGGCTGACTGACTGAGGATGAGGCAGGAAAGTGGCTGACTGACTGAGGATAAGGCAGGAAAGTGGCAGACTGACTGAGGATAAGGCAGGAAAGTGGCTGACTGACTGACGATAAGGCAGGAAAGTGGCTGACTGACTGAGGATGAGGCAGGAAAGTGGCTGACTGACTGAGGATGAGGCAGGAAAGTGGCTGACTGACTGAGGATAAGGCAGGAAAGTGGCTGACTGACTGAGGATAAGGCAGGAAAGTGGCTGACTGACTGAGGATGAGGCAGGAAAGTGGCTGACTGACTGAGGATGAGGCAGGAAAGTGGCTGACTGACTGAGGATAAGGCAGGAAAGTGGCTGACTGACTGAGGATGAGGCAGGAAAGTGGCTGACTGACTGAGGATGAGGCAGGAAAGTGGCTGACTGACTGAGGATAAGGCAGGAAAGTGGCTGACTGACTGAGGAATAAGGCAGGAAAGTGGCTGACTGACTGAGGATGAGGCAGGAAAGTGGCTGACTGACTGAGGATGAGGCAGGAAAGTGGCTGACTGACTGAGAATAAGGCAGGAAAGTGGCTGACTGACTGAGGATGAGGCAGGAAAGTGGCTGACTGACTGAGGATAAGGCAGGAAAGTGGCTGACTGACTGAGGATAAAGCAAGAAAGTGGCTGACTGACTGAGGATGAGGCAGGAAAGTGGCTGACTGACTGAGGATGAGGCAGGAAAGTGGCTGACTGACTGAGGATGAGGCAGGAAAGTGGC